TAGTCTACCGCCGAGGCACCGATTAAATTAGACAAACGAAATTGAGAATTAGAGAATGAAGAAGGAAGAATAGAGAAGGGATTTAAGGAAGAACAATAGAACAAAGGCTGTGCAAATCGATAGCATTTTGTGGAAATTGAATTGTGGCCGGTTTCCCTTGTTGATTGTGGCGCCAATCGTGCATATTATTGGTCTTGTTGATTGTGTGTAAGAGGCTACATACTATCAATGATTTTAAAAACTGGGGGCACTTTAAAATTAGGGCCTAAGCCCTTAACTATAAATGTATGAATAATGCATACCTTTTTTTTAAATTGTATATTGTGTTTTATTTCGAACTATAAAGAATAAAGACATAATTCAAGAAAAGCAAGGGACTTTTTAAGGTAAATCAATTCGTTAGGGCATAAAAAGCACACTTGACAAATCAAAAAGGGCACAAAGCAAATTCTTTTCAATTATACTTCTCCTTTTCAAGTTCACTCGGTTTCTCGACCATGTGACTACTGTGTCCATCATATGTTCTCTCTCTCTCTCTCTCTCTCTCTCTCATATCAAGACCTTGAAGTTGGTGCTATGAAGATTCCACTCTTCTTCTACTGATAGAATCGGTGGGTATTCTTTCTCCTCCTTTATTCTTCTGGCAAATGGATTCCCACTTGATTCTTCGATATTTCATGATGTTTTATTTCAGCTTACTTTATACCTGTGTGTATTACCTCTTTGAATTGGTGGTCTAGGGTTTGATTTTTATGTTGATTTACTGCTTCTAGTGGTTTGATTTAGTCTGTTGTTGATGTCAGTTGCGTTTGGGAGTGTAGATTCTAAATCGGAGTTTGGTTAGTCCGAACCTGAACTGATTTTGCTTGGATTTGAGCTCGATTGTACGTTTCGAAGCTTAGAATCAGAACGGAAGTTCGTTTAGTTGAAAGATGAAACTGATTCTGATTGAATTTCGGCTCGGAGTCACGAAATCGGAGTTCCAAACAATACTGTAGGCAGTCTTTGAGACGTTAGAGTCGAGATTGGAGTTCGTTTTGATCGAATTTAGAGAATTTCACTTCAATTTGATTCTGTTTCACGGAATCGGCTTTCCAAAATGTAGAATTAGGTAGCGTTTAGCAGGTTAGAATCAGATTTAATATCGATTTAGCTCAAAATCAAGCTGATCTACTATTAACCTCCGATTTCCGGAAGGAATTGGAGTGTTCAAACCACCATCATAGACTCACAGTGGGGGAAACATTGAGATCAGTTTGCAAATTTTGTTTTGATTTTGCCTCTGAAATCTGCTTTCAGGATGCAGTAGGGTTAATTTTTGCTGGTGGTTGGGCAAGTAGGCCATGTTTAATCAATCAACGCATGCGATAGTTTGTTTTAGATGTTTACTGTGATTGTAAATGAATGCTATAAATCTTATTCATCGTATTACCATCTTTGGCATAAATCGTTTGATGTAACTTTTCTATGAAAAAAGGGAGGATCAATCGTGATATTTGTAATGGAAACAAGTCAAGTCATTGTCATTCCATTCCAGAAATGGGAGAATCTTTGTTTGACTTTTCCACTTCTCAAAGTAGTTATATTCGATTACACTTTAATCACTATCTTGTTGTATGATTATCTTTTCATTTTAAATTCAGAATTAAGAGAACTGGTTGCTGGTGGGCTCATCTGCTTCAAGTAAGTGATGGTGATTGAATCATGGTTTCGTGGTCTACTAAAGTCTTCAAGAAAACACGACCATGGTCAAGAAAAGGTCCAGATTCGAGTATTAGCTTTTGAAGTAGCAAGCTTACTATCAAAGCTAGTTCATCAATGGCATTCTCTTAGTGATAAACAAGTTGCAAAATTAAGGGAAGAAATCAATAACTCAGTGGGTATCAAGAAACTTGTATCAGAAAACGATGATTACATAGTAGATTTGATATGTGCAGAAATGCTACATAATTTGGACTGTGTTGCAAGAGTAGTCACACGGCTTGCAGAAAGATGCAATGATCCTCTTTTAAAATGCTTCGAGCGTGCATACGATGATTTAATCAAGTTAGGTGTTGACCAGTACCAGTGGCAGTTGACCTGGAAAAAGATGAACAAGAAAGTCAAAAAGATGGAGAAGTTTATTTTAATCAACGCAAATTTGTATCAAGAAATGGAAACCCTCACAGAGCTTGAACAAATTTCAAGGAGAATGAAGAGCAATGAAGAACAAGATAGCATAACTTTGGTGGAATATATGAAGAAATTAGCATGGAAACAGCAAGAAGTCAAACGACTAAAAGAGTTATCTTTATGGAACAGGAGTCATGACTATGTGGTTGTCCTTCTCGCAAGATCCATCTTCACTATCTTCAATCGAATCGGGTTTGTTTTCGGAATAAACCACGTGTTACCTCTGGAATCTGATTCCGATTCCGATTCCGTTTCCGATCATATGTATAGAAGTCAATCAGTATCCACATTACTTCAATCTTCCATTCACCCATCTGAGAATCGCATCACCTTAGGAAGCATAATATCAAGATCCGGCCCGATATCAAGAACCAACAATCCAAACAATTTCTATTCCGGTCCACTTGGGAATTCAACCACGGTTTCCGGTCCCATCAAGCGCAAAAACATAACTTATTCCGGTCCTATAAAGTCGACATCAAAATCCGGCCCGCTTGCTCGCATGTCTAAAACCGGAATCAAACTATGGAATGGAAAGAGCCCTACACCACATCGTTTCAGCACCACCGGACCTTTCAAAGGCTGTATGCTCGCCGGAAACGGTTCTCCGGTGAAGCACTGTTATATAAATCCAAATGCCACCTGTTCCACGACCCCACAAACAATCAAAGAATCTGAAATGGAATCCCAATTACCAAACTGTGGCCCCAAACACAAAGTCTTTGAAGCTCCACCAGAAACACTTGGTGCTGCTGCTTTAGCTTTGCATTATGCTAATGTTATTATTGTTCTTGAGAAACTTGTGGCTTCCCCTCATTTGATTGGTCATGATGCGAGAGATGATTTGTATAATATGTTGCCAAAAAATGTTAGGAGTGCTCTTAGAGTGAGGTTAAAACCGTATGCCAAGAGCTTGGCGTCGTCGGAATACGATATGGGTCTTGCGGAGGAATGGAATGAGGCGATATCGGGAACTCTGGAATGGTTGTCTCCGCTTGCGCATAACATGATAAGATGGCAATCGGAAAGGAGTTTTGAACACCAGAATCTGCTTTCCAAGACGAATATGCTTCTTGTACAGACTCTTCATTATGCGAATCAGGAAAAGACGGAATTGACGATTACTGAGCTTCTTGTTGGGTTGAATTATATATGGAGGTTTGGGAGAGAAGTGAATGCAAAAGCTATGATGGAATGTGAGAGTGGTGGGTTGATTGATGAGTCTGTTGTGAACTCAGTGAGTTAATTAGGAAGCAGCGTGTTGAGCTTCATATCAATGATAAAGGGTGTTTCAAGATGCTCTGTTTCCTCAAGGCAATTGCATGTTGATGAATGAGCGTGTTGAGGTTTTGGCATGGAATTTGGAATTGATGATGGATGGATGGATGCCTGATTGTAGATGTATAGCTAATGGTGAAAACAATTTTAATGATGTGGATTTATTACCCTACCCTATAAGAGTTCTCCTTATAAATTATAAAATGTTTCGAGTGAGATTTCAAACTATCAAAGCTTTTTTTTTTTTTTTTTTTTTTTTTTTTTTTTTTTTTTGTACAAGTTACAAGTTCTTGAATACTGAAAGTAATGAAGAGTCTTTTCAAAAGCTTTTTGGGTGAATAAGTTTTTGAAATCGCTTATTTCATATGGTGAAATCTTTTTCGTCAACAAACATTTTTACTTTTTGGTTACAAGCTCTGACTGAGTTTTTTCATTGTTTTTCGTATTCTTTTATTCCATTTACTTTAGTTTATTAAATACACAGACTACACATATCAACTGTCTTCCACATAAGTTTGACAAAATTGCCATAAGGACCCGCTTCCATCGTTTCTCGAAGATCGGCTTCACGAAAAATAACATCCCTCTCAATATCGTCATGTTTCAGGAACCCATTCGGATTATACCTCGTATCCGACTATTCTCAACCTAACACTTCACCTCAAAATTCCAATTAAAGAAACAATAGATCAAATAACCATCATAGTGACTGTACACGTAGCAGTTTTGTGGACACGCTTGGGCTCGACCACCAGCCCAACCCGAAATGAACTTGCAATATTAGTGTTAGTGTGGGCTAATTATTCCAAATTACAAATGTCCCTTTTGTAATGGTTGATTTTTTTAATCAAACTTAGTAAATTTTATGATTAGCCTTATTACTAAATTATGTAATAGTATTTATATTTTTATATACGAGGTAGTGTTGGAAAAAGACCAAGTTGCAAAGTACTCATGTGACATGTTTCTTACACTTTTTACCTATTTATTTTTCATTTATACTTTAGTTCATATAACTTTTCATTTCTATTACTTTTTGTTGTTATTATTAAATAATTATCACACTCCTGCCTTTATCTGGGAGTAGGGGTATCAAAATTAATGCAGGGCCCATTCCTCAAAAGGGTGCACTTTTCAGTTTTATAACGTTTTAAAGGTGGGGTTGTTTAGGGATAATAATTTGTATGGGTAACTAACTTTTATAACTTGAATGGGTAACCAAAAGTGAGATTTTTAGTTTTATCGTATATTGGTACTGCATAGATCCAAATATTTTTTCCCCCATTGTAAGTTAACACACAATTGTAAAAAAAAGTATGATTTGTTCTTAAATAAAAAGATGTGGTTTGTCATGTCTTTTTTTAAGACACTTGGTATTTATATACCAACTAAATCATCCATGTTAAGTCTATTAAGTCGAAATTAAACATAAACATAGAAAGTTTTAACCAACTACCATTATGTATTTATAAAGTAAAGTAATAACACTTTGTTCAGAATTTGTATAACTTTTATATGTAGTTACACGAAAAGACAGGTCCATAATCTTTACCCTAAGCTTCCCCCTGCTGATTAAATACTAAATTTAACATCAAACGATGTTACAAATCTTCAACAATTTACAAAACATCTTACCTTACAAACAAACGGATTCAAAAACATCCTTGGATAAAAAAAAAGAGCAGGAAAACAAACACATTATATTATATGGTTCTATATACACTAAAAGAATACTTACAAACACAACTAAATTAAGCTTCTAGTCCCAAGTCTTCCAAATTCACACTAGACTTCATGCACCTATTGCCATGAAAAAATTGTGAGTTTTTCTAATTATTTATTGTGATAATTAAATGATCTGTCTTAATGACTTCAAATTAAAAGGGCAAATTGCAAGGAATAGCAATTGACTACTCTTTTTATCAATATAGGCAATGTACTTATATTTTATACCCATAATAGCAATGTACTTTATTTTTTACTCATGGGTAAAAAAGAAAGTACATTGGTAAAAAGAGTGAAGTACACTGGTAATTCCTGCAATTTCATTTTTCAAACCACCAAATATATTATAGAATAATAAAAAACAAAGGATTTAGAAAGTTACATGAGTGAAAATCATGTCCCATCAGTAGGCAATGCAGCCATGAAAGAATTATAGGAAGACTCCAAGTCAAAATGCAGTTGCCTGGACTGCTGTTCAGTCAACTCATCAGCCGCCCCCATTTTGGCCAACCTCCCAAGCCACTCCTTCATCTTAACCTTCCCTTCAAAATCCGGGGGCAAAATCGACAATTTGTTCAACGACCCCGACAAATCAGAAAGCAGAGGAAAAACTTGATCAACAGCCACCATATTCAACTTCAAAGAATCCATCGCAGTGATAAAATTCTGCACACATTCCGCCACAAAAGCAGCCGAGGTTCCACTGGAGGCGGTGGTTGCCGCCCTGTGCTCCACCGTGGCGGGGACGCCGGAGGTTATGAGGCGGTTCATGGCGGCAGGGCAGTCCATTTTGTAAGTATTGTGGAATCTTTCGATACTGGGTACGGTGTCTTTTAGTGTTGATGAAAGTGTTTTGAAATGTGCAATGAGTTTTTGGCATTCGAGTTCGTATTCGGTTGACGGGATTATATCGCGAACGTATGCTTTTTCGAGTTTTTCTGTGGCTTTGATGATTGCATAAAGTTCAGCAAAATTTTCGTACATTTCTCTCTCACGTTTGTCATTCCATAGTTTCACTTCCATCTATGGAAAATGATTTAACTGATTTGAAATTAGAAATATATTGGAAAAGTAGGCAAACTTCATATGAATAAGTGAAAAAGGAACAATGTAACTGAACTTTTTTACTTGAAGGTTACTTAAGCTTAAAACTGAGTAAGGTTGAATTCTCTAATGTTCATCATGATTTGCCAACTAGCATAAGGAACTTAATTCAGAGGAAATAGAGACATAATGCTCAAGATAATGTTAGATAAACCATTTCTAACATTTAATAATCAATAAAAGAGCTCCAAAAAACAAAAACACAACACCAGTATCATGGTTTCACAGCAGCTGATCTAAATATGAATGTAAAATAAAGTGGAAGCATGTAAAGTACAAGGAAATATATGGCTCAAACAAGAATACCAGTGTCCAAATTTGAACAATGATTCTGAAACATAAATTATATTGAATGCCAAAAGAGAGTGATGAATATGCAGAATTCTCACCAAAAGGGGTAAAAAAACTGAACAAAAAGAAACGTGGATGAGAAAGCATAATGAAGCAAATTCCTCACGAGCATCTTCGTAAACAACTAACATAAGAGATACAAAGAGACTACTGATTCTTAATTCCAACTGGAACCTAAAAACTTTGCAGAGAGAAAATTGAGGTGAATGAGATTTCAAGTTCCCGATTGAAAACAGAAGGTGGGATTGAGTGAACGGGCAGAGCAGTTTGAAGTTGTCAGCCAAAAAGATCACCCCAAATCTTAGATGGAACTAGGGTTATAGAGTGGTCAAAAATCATCAGCGAATCACACATGAAACTAGGGTTTATCATTGACCTTATGCAGTTTTTCATCATCGAACGAAGTTCAAAAATCAACGATGAAGGACGGCCTTATACAAATCGAAGGAGAAAGACAGAGATGTTACCTACCTGAATGAAGGACGGAGAAAGATGAGGCGACCGGCGAACGGGTCTTTTCTTAAGAATGTAATTCAGCTCCTTCGACGCACCCTTGTATGATTTATCAATGGTGAAACGTAGACTTCGAAGATGGAATCTAATTTTATAGGTTTGTCACTTCAACAAGTCACGTAACGCAATTCTGAATTCTAATTTTGCCGAAATTCGTCGAGATTTTATAGTTTGTGGGTGACAACGTTTTATAGAACACGGTTTATGGCATCAATAATTGATATACTTGGTTGATAGTCTTTTTAGTCATTTGTGATGCGCTAGGATTGGGAAATTTGGCTGAATGTCAATATATCATTGTAAGAGTATACAGATCACGGACGAATCAGTGGTAGGTGGCAACACGACCACAAACACGATCCCGATGTCTCATTTTGGCTAGTTGTCGTTGTCCAATATGGTGTAGATAACGATGGACCGCAAACAATCAAAACTCTTTGTTTTTTGACTCATGTCTTGACCGTTCTAACGATTACTTTGGGTTTTTTTATTTAATTTTTACCTATATAAATACTATTACAAACCATTTTATTTTTCATATAATTCTTCTCTCATTTTATTTACATTCACACATTTGTAGTGTTCTAAAATTCAAAAACCATGGCTCCCAAAAAGGATGAATTGGTAGAAAATGAAAGAAGAGAAGTTAACACAAACATCAATGTCGGTTTCAGAAGAAGGAGATAATCTAATCTCTAGAGATTTTTGGGGAAAAGTTTCAAGCGTTTTCTATGGTTTAATGGGTTGTACAAATCGAAATTTTGATAAAATATGTTCGAAGTGGGGCGATATGAGGGTAAAATGTTGCGAGCTCGATGGAACTTACAACTTTGTTATAAACAATGTACACGAAAGTGATGTCGATTAGGTTAATCTGGTATAGTCATGGATCAATATGAAGACACAACCCTAAAATGACAAACCGTTGTTTAAAAAAATAAGTTTAAGGGTAGGTGTTTGTATTTGATTTTTTTTATGTTTTATTCAATTTTATTTTGAATTGTTGTTTTTTAAAATTAATGTAATGTCGTTTTTTATTGAATGAAAAACTAATTTAAAAAAAATTGTTGTATTTTTGAATTAAATTTAATTAAAAAATGATGTGGAGTGGTGTGTTAGGCTGGAGGGAGTGGTGCCACCGAAACCGCACTCCCTCCTATGCCACGTAGACGCCAACTCAGATTTTTTCTTATTTCATCAACTAGAAACTGCAATGGGGGAGTGAGAAAAAGGTTAGGAGAGAGACAAGAAAAAAGAAAAGAAAGAAGATGATTGGTTGAGAGAAGAGAGAGAGAGAGAGCAAGTAAAAGAGAAGAAAAAGAAAAGGGAGTGCGGCCATGGACTACCGCAGTGCGGCCTCCACCGCACCCAAACCGCAGTGGAGGGGCGGTGTTCATGCTGAGGTGGAAGGAGACTGCGGTAGAGACCGCAACCACTCCCCCAAGCCTTAATGATAAATATCTCATGGTTTTAGTGATAGGATGTGGTGATGAGGTGTCACCCACCACTATAATGGTTAGTGGTGGGTATATCGGATGACCTGATGGAGTTATTCATTTTGTGGTGCTATGAAATTTGGGGGACCATATATAGTCATACATTCCTCAAACATATTTCGTGGTGGCTACTATGAAATTGAATGAACACATCAAAATAACTTTTTACTAATGTTTTAAAAACCAATCTTTTAGTTAAACTGTACTTGTCCTCGGTTTTCGATTCGACCGCTGATCGAACCCGACTTCCATGGTTTTTATATATTTTTTACTTTCGTACATACATACATATATAAATACAAGAATTTTTCTATATTTAGCAGTGATGTGCGTCGACTTTCGAATTGTGTACATTCCGGTTAACCTAATCGATCGAGCTATTTACTTTGTGTAACACCGCAAATTTCAATTAAAAATTTAAGTGTTTATTCAAATCACAACTACAAAATCTTAGATAGGACCATTTAATCTTAAAACATTTATCAGAGTATCGTCAAAAGTTATCATGTGCACAAGTCTCCCATTGATGCGATGCAATCGAGTCGTGCCCCTCCTTTAATATAAGAAAACCTGAAAACATTTAAACAAAAAATTGTAAGTACAAAGCTTAGTGAGTTCCCCAAATTACCACACACAACACAACACAAATAAAGAACTATAGGTTATCAGCAACTAGGGATGTCACGGGACCAAACAGGACCGGACATAGCTGCCCCCACCCCTGCCCCCGAAATCAGTTATTGCCCCCGCCCCCGAATCCCCCGTTTACATAGCCCCCGATCCCGCCCTCGAATACCTTCATCACCCCCGAATCCCACAGAAGTTTTTGACATCCCTATCAGCAACCCTGGAGACTACTCAAAGTCTCACATTAATATTCAAAACATTTCAAATAATTTGTTGTCACTCAAAATGTGTTCATTGAACAATTTTTTTCTTCATGTCTTTATGACGAAGAGTCATGACAAACAATCAATGACAAAACTCAAAATATCATGCTAAATGTTTCAAATCACACCTTATATATGTCCTCGAATATAATATTAGTTTATCTTTGCAACATCATGACTTAAAATATGGTATACATATAATTGATGATAGGGCAAATGTCGTATTAGCCCATCAAACTTATCGTGCTTGTTTTAAAAGGTCAATAAACTATTTTTTTTGCACATTAAGGGAATGAACTTACATTTCCCTGTTTTAAAATACTGTTATGTTACCTGAAACCGGGTTCAAATGTAATATACATGCCACGAAGGAAAATGTCGGTGCCATGCCATTTAATGAAATGGCCACGTGTAGTACATTTATCTTAATTTGTGTAACGCTTGGTTCCTACTTGTGGAAGAAGAAGAAGCTAGAGGATTCAAGGAGAATATAGTAGATCCAGATACTTCCTTTCATTCTCATCAATTTATGGTAATCAAGTCTCTAACTTGCTTGGTAGTTTCTTAGATCTCTTTATTTTCACTTTATTGGGTTTTTGGTCCAAGAAGCTTGATCTTTGGGATATGGACGTCCCAAGTGAGGATACCTTCAGATCTGGAATCATGGAGGGCTTTCATGGCATAAAGGTGCAAACGTTATGGCCATTGAAGCCCCATGCAAGCCATAGGATGTCATTTTGGCCTTTTAAGCTCCAAAAGGCCATGCATGGAGTGAAATGTGGAAGCTTTACGTATCCATGTAGTGTTTAGGGTCTAGATCTCTGTTTGTAAGCTTTAGTTTGGAGTATGGATGGCTTGTGGACCAATATCTAGGTCCTAAGGAGTTAGGGTTTGAGCTAAACCCATTAAGAAAAGGTATTAACGGGTAAAGTTGGAAACTTTACCCTTAAAAGGAAATTTTCAGGGTATATGAGAAGTATGAAGTTTAGATCTAAAGAGTTGGGGATTAATCCATTAAGATGGACCAAACAGACTGAGGAACTCAGAGAGTCCAGAGAGGGACTCGACGAGTCGAGTCGTGTTGTCCCGATTCTGTACAAGGTAAAACTCAACGAGTCTGTGAATGGACTCGACTAGTTGACTCGTTCTATCGCGACTATGATTAACAAGGGAACTCGGCGATTCAGGGGGGATGAATCGACGAGTTGAGTCAACTCGGATTGTTGACTTTGACTTTGAATTTGACCAAGGTTGACCCGTGAAGGGGTTTTTGAGTATGGAATGTTATCTAAGAGGTTGTTTTGTATAGGGTGTGAGTAGAGCCGGTTGCGGAGTAGGGACTTTCAGTTATTCACGACATTGAGGTGAGTTTCCTTCAGTAGGAACGGGTCTAAGGCACCAAGGTCGACCCGTATATGCAATTAGTAGCTGAGTGTGGGTGGGGCCCGTATCTCATAGATAGCTGATATGGTACAGATTTATATACTTAGTTATACTTGTTGTTTGTGTGATACCTGTATGTATTTTCATGACTAGCTGAGTGTGGGCGGGGCCCGTATCTCATAGTAGCTGAGTGTGGGCGGGGCCCGTATCTCATTGAGTGTGGGCGGGCCCGTATCTCCTAGTTGCATGTTATGTGTATGGTATGTGGTAGTTTGGGGAGACTCACTAAGCTTCGTGCTTACAGTTTTCAGTTTTGGTTTCAGGTACTTCCGGTAGCAAGCGGAAGAGCTCGAGATGACTTCAATGCACACACCATTGTGTTTATAGCCTGGGATGTTTACTATGATATTTTGATATGAGATACTATTACTTATGTTTTGATGGAATGATTTTAATAACTATGGTTTTGTTTAATTAATAAAAAAATGAAATTTTTGGACCGTATTTTTGGGATGTTACAATTTGTTTTAAATAAACCGATTGCGTTCTACAATCTCATCAACATTGAAGAAACCTCTCCTCCTCATTGAAGAAACTCGACGGCACAGTTCCGATGGTGTTTCAGAACGTCACCTACAATATCCCCGTCGTGATCTGGCTCATGGAGACTTACCCTCGTCATCCGCCTTTTGTCTTTGTGAACCCCACGCTTGATATGATCATCAAAGCCCAACACTCTTTTGTTAATCCATCGAGATTGGTTTCCTTCCCTCACCTGCAAAATTGGGTTTATCCAAGCTCTAACCTGGTTGAATTAGCTCGTAATTTGAGTCATTATGTTGGTAGTGACCCCCCTTTATACTCTCAATGACGACCAAACCCTACAAACCCTCTCCAAACCCTAATTACAATCCATTTGTATCTTCCAATGAATCGTCTTCTGGTTCGATTTCAACGGGGTCTATACGGCCAGCGATTCCACCAAGGTTTTATCCGCCATCACCGTATGGGATTGCCTCCGGTAGTGGAAGGATTTTGTCACCGTCTCCCCCACGATGCTTAGGATCAACCCAAAGGATCTAGGTGAGGTTTCCAAGTGGAATGCCATCAATAAACTGGTGGAAACTGTTCATGTTGATGTTGAAGCGTTGAGGAAGAAGAGGGAGGTTGAAATGGAAGGGATGTTTACTGCTCAAGCAGTGTTGAGGCAGAGAGAAGAAGATGTTTTGAAAGGTTTAAGAGAGATGCAATACGAAATTAGAGCAACAGTTACAGATGGTTTTGAAGAATACAGGCGTGTTAGAAGGGTGGGTGAGAGAGAATGAAGGAAAATCAGGGGGAAATACAACAAATGTTAATGTCGATGAAGCTTTTGAGCCATCAGATCCTTTATCAAAACAGATGCGTGAGTCAACTTCATCTGATCTTGCTATAGAAGATGTAGTTTATGCATTGGATAAAGCTCTTCATATGAAAACATTGGTTATCGTGTTACCACCCCCCCCCCCAAAGTTCTAAAAACCCTAACATCATCATTAGGCACCACTGTGGAGGCCACGTCACCAAAAAAAATATGCTTTAAACCTTTTACAATCGGTAAAAGGACGGAATTAAACGATCATATGAGAGTTAGTTTCCTTAATGTGCAAAAAAAAAATAGTTTAGTAATCTTTTAAAACAAACACGACAATTTTGATGGGCTAATATGACATTTGCCCTTGAAGATAGTGATGTCCAACACTTGTTACATGTTGTTCATAATGTGTGTTCAAATGTTGTATATCTATATCTTGTAGACAGTGTCCTTATACATAGAAATCGATCAATGTTTGATGAAGAATAATCTAGTAGAAATCTATCATGTGTAGGAATCAACGATCATTGATCATTAAGGTGTAAAATCTTCACTAAGATCTTAACAAAAAACAACAAACTCGAATTACAAAGAAACTAACAATTCTTGGTACCAATTAGGGGCGTTCACGGTCCGGTTTTTTCGGTTTTTCAGTCAAACCGAAGCCAAACCGTTAGTAACGGTTTTTGTTTATTGAAAACCGAAGCCAAACTGTTAAAAATTAAAACTGAACCGTTACTAACGGTTTGGCTCCGATTTGGTTTCACGGTTTGGGCTTTCTAGGCCCATTTCAATCTAGCCCATTAGACTAGTTTTATAAAAAAAAAATTGTTAAATAAAAAATGCCCAAAACAATAATAAATTCTGCCAAAAAAATCTTAAAATCTGTCAAATATTGTCCAATACATGCAGCCTAATAAGCTGTGCAAAACAGTAAATATAAACATCAAATATTGTTCTATTAGAAACATCTGAAATATTTTCATAACATTACGAATGGATTATGAAATTAATTGAAACCCAACAAGTTTTTTTGCATCTGGTGTAGCCTTTCTTCTACCAAAAATGTCTGCTAGAAGTCATAATCAGTTATCATAACATAATGCATGAATTATGAATTTCATATTAAGCTATATGAAAAGCTTAAATGCGTAATTTCACACTAAAAAGGGTATTAGAACTAGAGGAGCTTTAAATGGATTAAACTACTAAAAAACTCACATGAGTGTTCAAAAGTTACAACTTCAACAACATTTAAAGCATTGGCTAACAAGGTCCTCCATCTGTATAAAATTCATGTATGAGATTCAATAAAAATCTTGATGTAAGAGAATATGAAGACCTTAGTAACTAGTAGGTACGCCTTTGTCCAATGGACCTATTAGCATTCTAATGAGATTAGCATTTCAAATTTCAAAGTTAAAACAATAGTGTCTCAAATTTTTGAGTACCATTTGGAAAAGATAACAACTATACTAAACAATACATGTAAGACTAAAAATAATAAATCACAGAAATTAACAAAATGACATCAAATATTGTTCAAACAAACATTACATAAGCTTTTGAGTCCATCTCAGGACCTGCACAAACAAAAAAAATCAGAACTTCCATTCTTCCTGATCAATTTCAACTTTTAAAGAAAGAAACATGTAGATACACGTAGATATGACTAGATGAGAATGGAATGGACATTAATCGTTATTCACAGATTCGGTGCTTCCCTGTGGCCCTTCCTACTGCATAAACAAGATAAATCGAAACTTTCATTCTTCGTGATCGATTTTAACTTTTAAAGAAAGAAACACGTAAAGATGACTAGATGAGAATGGAATGGAGCATAATCCTGTTTCATAGCTTTGGTGCTTCCATACGGCCTACCTACTGTATAAACAAAAAAAAATCGAAACTATCATTCTTCCTTATCAATTTCGACTTAGAGATGCGACTGGATGAGAATGGAACATAACTTAATCTTGCTTTGTAGCTTCAGTGCTTTCATGCCTACTGCATAAACAATTAACTTTGAGATGTGATGAGAAATGTAAAATGAACTACTGCGATGAGAATAGAACAACCTCTTCAACTCTCATTTAGGTCGCGTAGGCCAAAAACCGCTCGATCTAAAATTCGAGTTTCGGGCCGTGCACTGCTATGCCAAATCTTAGAAAATTCATAGTTTCCTCATACGAAGTCAGATTTGGGCGTTCTTTTTTTGTATGTTCTCGGTTTAATGTATACTACAACTTTTGTTTAGATTTCTAAGGCTAAAAAGTCCTCCATCGTAAATTCACTATTTACGTATCCCGGTGTCGTGCCGGTTTTGCCGAAAAACTTCGACGGGTCATAACTTCTTCGTTATAACTCGGATTTCGGCGTTCTTTATATGTATGGAACCCTTGTAATATATACAACCACTTGGAAAAGATTAATCCTTCTAAATAATCTTCCATCAAAAACTCATTTTTGATGCTTATTGTCTCTAAATTGACTAGTCCGGATCTGCGGGCGTTACAAAACGGAAACCATCCAACGAAAACTTGGAAAGTATGGAGGCGATCGGTGATGAATATACGATTTCTGATTTATGTATTTGTGCTGATTAGGGTTGCTACTTATTGCCTTACTGGATTAGAGGGAACGAGATTCACACAAAAAGGATTGGGCTGGTAAGTTATTAACTTGCTGGGTTATAAATTTTTATTACTTATATATAAAAATTAATGTATAATAAAACTATATGCAATTATATATAAAATAATTAACTAACATATATTTATACAAATCCTACGGTCCGGTCTGGTTTAATACGGTTTGAAAATCTTGAAACCGCAAACCAAACCGTTCACTACGGTTTCGAAAGTTTGAAACCGCAAGCCAAACCGTAAAAATAAATAGAAACCGTGAAACCAAACCGGTGTCTGGTTTGGCCGGTTTCACGGTTTCAAACCGGACCGTGAACACCCCTAGTACCAATTGGTACTCACACATGTGGAAAAGTAGTAAAAAATCATATTTCATTTCAAATCAGCAATAATTTTTTACTTATTTATTTCCTTATATATAATGTTGTAAAAACTTTTACACATTTGTTTTACAAAATGGTAAAAACCTATAGTTGTAAAAAATCGTTAAACATTATTTTATAGAAAAATTATAAAAACATGCATAAATAAAATTGTAAAGAAGTCATGGCGAATTTGTAAAAAGAAAAGGTTAGGACAATCGATTCTCAATTCTTAACAAATGGGAAAAGAATGACTGAACCGACGACAAACTTTATTTAGGCAACCCTAAATCAAATGCATGAAATTAAATAATAAAAAAATTTGTAAATGTGAATTTATATAAAAAAAACTAATTTGTGAAAACTTTTTTTTTATCAAAATGGCATAAAAACAAATATTATAAATATGATATTAAGAAAAACTTGTAGAAAATACTGAAAAAAAGCTTGTAAAAAAGTTGTATAAATTTTTTTTTAAAAAATGGGAGAATTTTGTAAGAAAATTTTGGAACACACTTTCATTGTGGTTTCAAGATGTAATAAAATATGTAAATCGGTGTTTTAAAGATATATGAAATAGTTCATTGGTTAAATTTGATATTAATCTAGGTTTATTGATAAAATGTATAAAAAGAATGACTAGATTTATAAAATTGCAAAACCTTGTCGCTTTTATAAGTTTATCGGTCGTTGGAAACCAATGAAATATTTAATTATTAGTCATAATGATATTTCTTGAACATTTTATACAAATTTATCGGTAATATATATATATATATATATATATATATATATATATATATATATATATATATATAATTTGTTCCATTCCCAAGTTATTGGTTGTCGGAGAAGTAGTCGGAACCAATGAAACATTTAATTATTGGACATAATGATATTTCTTGAATGTTTTATACAAATTTATTGGTGAATGTGTAAAAAAATATAAATAACCAAATATACATAAATATAAAAAATCATTTATTATCTTATAGCAAAACTAATCAGACCTTCAATATTAAGGCTATGTTCGGTGTAAGAAAAAACTAGTTGTTAACTAAAAAGCTAGCTGATAAAAAATAATGTTTGGTAAAACTAACTAAAAAGTTAGCTAAAAGATATAGAATGACATTTAAACGAATGTGTTTTTATAATTAATTAAGGGGTATATTTTGATTTTTTTTAAAAGTTTCTAAAAAGCTTAGTCTAAATAGCTTTTAAAAAAACTACCTTATAAGCTACCTTTTGACTTGTCATAGTTTAAAAAAACTAAAAAAATAAGCTAACTTATCAGCCAGCTGTGACGCGTTTTTTTTAAGAGTTTGACATTTTTATATTAGTTTATAAATTAATTAGTTATGTTTAATTAGTTAAACTATAAAGTTTTTACAAAATTAATGTGATTGAAGATGATCGTTACAGGCTTACAGCATGTATTACCGACTTACGCGTTGCCTCATGCCTGGTTAACCAAAATCTGTGATTATGTTTCTAACCGTGAAATGAGCAGAGTGACAAAGCACGTAAATCGTTATTTCTCTTCCATCCTCCGTCACATGCATCCCTCGTAAAGAAATTAGCAGCCACCACCACCGCCGGAGTTTCGCCGTGAATGGCGACGTCGAGTGCACGAAGGATTTCTCTCGGTCAAGCGGAAAGTGGACTCATTGAATCTGAAACGATTGAAGGCCTGGGACCCGTTGAGTGGACCAAGATCGACGTAAATACTCTCCACCCTTCCTCTCTTCCTCCTAGGCTTTGGGTTTAGATCCTATATTCAGTTTCAATTCCTCAATAGATATACGATTTTGTGTTCGGATTTTACAATTGATTGGTTTAATCTGTGGAGTTTACAGGAGCCTGTTTCTCATGGATTATCCGAGTTTTTGCTCAAAGCTGAGAGTGTTATGGCTGAGGCAAGCTTTCTCTAGAACTTTATATTTCAATTGATCAATTCATGTGTGTTTTCCTTTGGATTATAGGGGCCTTTCTTACATTTTACACTTCAATTTTGATGTGAAGCCTAGCATATTTCCATTGAAACCTTGTTATCAGCGCCTATTTTAAACCAACTTCATTCTATTTATTGTATTTGACAACCTACTATAAAGTTAATGCAGTAAGCAATTTGCTCTAAAAATCTTAAATCTTCATATTGAGCTTGGTTAATCTTCTTTCTCCTTCTCTGCAATGTTTAAACTGCGTTCTGGTGGTGTACACTTGCTTTCCTGTTGTTATGATATGCTAATTTGATTTCATTTAAAAGCTTTGTCTGATATTTGTGTGTTTTAATTTGCTGTTAGGGGCATGGTGTTCTTGTTAACACGGATGAAGCAGGTACCATTTTTGTGACCAATTTCCGTCTTGTTTTTCTGGTAAGTTATCCATCTATTGATCTTTTTGGTTACTGAATCATGCCATAGTACAAACCAACTATAGTTTCCAGTTAATTTCTCCTATATCTAGTAGCAAATAGAATGGCTTAATTCAATATCCATCTCAACACCAAGCTTTGTCAATTTCTCCTATATCTGACACACATTTCTGTTATATTCTTTAAGAGTGAAGAGTCCAGGGAAGTTACTGCACTTGGAACAATACCATTGGCCACCATTGAAAAGTTCAACAAGATTGTAAGTTTTTGTTACAGATTAATTTTGTTATTTCTTTCCAGAATATTACAATAAAATATTACCTACTCAATCTAATTTTGTAGGTTGTAAAGCAACAATCAGGTATTCGGCAGACAGAGAAGACTCCTACACGTAGGCTTCTTCAGGTCACTGGTATGGTATTATTTTTCATGTTATTTTGGGTTTGGGAATATATATATATCATACAATTAACTGAAATTCTTTCCATACACAGATTTTAACCAAATACTTAGCCAACTTCATTGCTTTTGTAGGCAAGGATATGAGAATCATCTTATTCTCTTTTCGTCCTCGCACTAAGCAGGTCATTTATGATCATCATCACACTTGTAAACTTTCACCTTTTTTACTTTATTATCTCATTGATTTAGGTTTTACTTAATTTACAGAGACGTGCTGTTTTTAATGCATTGCTGAGGTGGACAAGGCCTGCAAGTATCTGGGATCTGTATGCATTTTCTTGTGGTCCTTGTAGATACAGTGATACCAATCCTAAAGTGCGATTAGTGAATGAGTATTATCGCCTTCTTGGCATGGGGTCACTTGGTTCATCAATTGGACACATTGAAGATGGTTTGTTTAAATTATCTAATGATTGGTGGAGGATTAGTGATGTGAATGCAAGTTATAACATGTGTCCGACATACCCTTTTGCTTTGTTAGTTCCAAAAGCCATCAGGTGTGAGAGAGGCATCTTCTTTTTTGGTTTTAGTTATCTGAAGAATACTATGAATTATGATACCCTGTCACTTGTGTTGCTCATTTCAGAGATAAAGATTTGTTGAAAGCTTGTACATTTCGTGCACGGTGTAGACTACCTGTGATATCATGGTGTGATATACGTAAGCACTCCACTGTTTATCTTTCTTTTAAAATTTTAAGCATGCAGTTTATGTCAACATACTTGCATTTATTTCAATGATATATATATATATATATATATATATATATATATATATGTAGGCACTGGAGCTGTTCTTGCTCGATCATCACAACCATTAGTTGGTCTTATGATGAATATGAGGAGGTAGGTAACCTAGGCTAACCCCATGTTGGAGTTTTTGGCTAGTGTAAAGTTCCTTCAATATGTTACATTTGGGTACAATTTATTAATGATGACATATATCTATATAATGCAGCAATGCTGATGAGAATCTAGTAGGTGCTCTTTGTACTCGGTTTTCAAATGGAAAAGAAGGAAGGAGGTAATGCTTATTGTGATTTTTGCTATATATCTAAGTTAGGGGATGTTTCTTTTCGACTTAATAAGTTTAATAGGTTAAGCACTTTATCTACACAAATATACATGGTTGTTTCTTTTTGACTTAATCCGGACAAAATGACTTAATTGGTTAAGCTTAATGTATTCATACACTAACCCTTCCCTTTTCCACCCAACTCCTCTCACATTAAAATTGATGAATATTGTTAAAATTGTTTGCTGGAATGTAAGGGTAAAATGGTCCACTAAAATGAATACCCTGGGGTTTACTTGGTAGGAAGTTATACATAGCGGATGCAAGACCCCGGAAAAATGCTCTCGCAAATGGGGCTATGGGTGGGGGTTCAGAGTCGTCTTCAAATTATTTCCAATCTGAGGTGTGTTAAACCTACTACAATATAACGTGTTCCAGTTGCATAATATATTTGTAAATTCTAACATGAACATATTTATATATTTATGTTCAGATTGTATTCTTTGGTATAGACAACATCCATGCTATGAGAGAGAGTCTGGTTCGACTAAGAGACTACTTGGATACACATGGAACCACATCATCAGATGGAATGTCATCATTCTTGGTATATATATATATATATATATATATATATATATATATATATATATATATATATATATATATATATATGACTGGTTTGTAATTGATTTGATGAGTGGGGTTTGATAAATGATTTAGTTGTGATTTGAACAGAGAAATGGTGGATGGACATGGGGTGTGGGGAATCTGAGTAGTATGTCTGCTTCAGTGTCGACACTTGGTGATAGTGGTTGGTTACAACATATCCAAAATGTATTAGCGGGTTCTGCTTGGATTGCTGCTCGTGTTGCATTAGAGTCTGCATCAATGCTTGTTCATTGCAGGTAGGTAGGTAGATAAACTGTAAACTTTACTAAACCAAAGGGATATTTATGATCAATTTGTAATATAAGTTATAATATATATGTAATATATTACTATATGCTACAGCGATGGATGGGACAGAACAACCCAGCTAGTAGCACTTGCAAGTTTATTACTTGATCCGTATTACCGCACCATAAATGGATTTCAGGTGCATACATTTATTTAATATTTATTACTAAAAGTTTCCAATTATTTAGGGTACCTTTTTATATGTGCATTCAGGCTCTTGTTGAAAAAGATTGGCTTGCATTTGGGCATCCATTTTCAGATCGAGCTGGAATGCCTCCTAGTTTATCTGGGACTGGAACCATGCCTTTAGAATTATCCAGGCATTCTTCAACTCCAAACATTTCATCATCATCATCATCCCTTCGCCAGCTGTCTGTATCCTTATCAACCACATCTCAACCTCCAGTCGCCTCCTCCAACACACAGCATTCAAACAATTATTCTCCAATATTTCTTCAAGTAACTTTTGCTTTTCCAACAATTAATGTCTAGTTTCTTCTCCGATCTTAAAAGCATCTCATCCATGCTGATTATATTTATGTGTATTGATTTCTACTTCACAGTGGATTGATTGTGTCTCTCAGTTATTACGGATGTACCCTTTTGCATTTGAGTTTTCATCTGTAAGTAAAGTATTAAGTATATCCTTTCATTAGACTGACTACATATATGATATATTGTCACATGATGATGATGATGATGATGATGATGATTATGCATGTTATCGTGCAGGCTTTTTTGGTCGATTTACTGGACTGTGTGCTCTCATGTCGATTTGGGAACTTTTTGTGCAATAAGTGCGTATGTATTTACTTTATAAGGAATATTATAAAGTTTAACAAACAGTTATTGATAATTTCAGCGAGAATGAAAGAGAAAGGGCAGGTGTTTTTGAGGCATCTGCGTGCTTGTGGATGCATTTGGCTGATATGCGAGGAGCTTCAGAGGGGACTTCTCACGTACATTACAACCTCTTCTACAATCCATCTAAACATGATGGTCCATTATTACCACCGGCCGCAGCCTTGGCTCCGACTTTATGGCCTCAATTTCATCTCCGGTGGTCATGTCCTGCAGAAGCTCAATCCGGCGAGATTGAAGCCAAATGCAGAAGCATGATGGACAAGTACTCTGAACTGCAAAAGGTAATCAATTAAAATCATTTATTAACGATTTCATATAATAAATATTACGGAGTACTATTATTTATCATCAACGATGGACAGGCCAAGGATTTAGCGGAGAGGAACGCCAGAGAAATAACGACGACGGTGGAGTCTTTGACTGCTGATCTAATTAACGAGAGCCAGGTCAGCAACTCCACCTTGGCCTTGGCGAGAAAAGCGAGCATGGAAAATTCAAGCATAAAGCGAGCAATCGAATCACTCGGATGTAGAGTTCATGTTTCAGCTGCCGACGACATTGAAGACTATCCTGCATCTTCTCCGACTGAAACTGTGTCTGTAGGTAGTGGAGACGATGGAAAGACGGATATGTCTGTCTCCATTGCCGTAGCGGAAGATAACGACCATCTTCCAGGGAACCCTAGCAATCGGATTTGTGAACTGTGCCCGCTATGGACACCAGACGGAGGTTGTCGGTGGCCGGACGCCGGTTGTGCTCGAGTTAGGAGCCAGTTTGTGGGTTTGAAAGCTAATTATGATGCTTTTGATCGGCTATCGATCAATGATGGCTACTTTCAACCCGAATCATAAAAATTGTTTGCACTTGTCACAGCAAAAGAATGCAACAAAGGTGATTGATTTTGTAGCTATATTTTAGTCGGAATACCTGACATAGATGTATATCCTTCCATTTTTTGAATCAACACTGTTCTCTTCACATATCACAATGTATAAAAAAAACTAATCAAATGTCAGCTCTGATATGTATATCGTCTAAAACAGAGTTTGTTTATTCTTTATAATGAATTTGATTCGTTTGTTAAATACACGGTAAAAGGCTGTATTTAGTATTTGCCACATGTTCTCTGATTTGGTCGAATATGAGTAATGTGACATGGGAACAATAAATATTCCTAGGTGATCTTGTTTATGAAAGCGTGCAAAGATTCTTGTAAATGAATGCCAGGAAGTTAGCTTATTTATTAAACTAATTTTATTAAACGAACAAACATTGTATTGTTGTTTATGTTTGGTTTTTATGTCCGTGTTAAACTTTCATTTACGTTTAGGATCATTCAATTAGATTCGTTTATGTTTGGTTTTTATGTCCGTGTTAAAGTTTGTTTGGCAAGCCATTGTATTGTTGTTTCCTGGAACACGCACCATTCATTCAAGTTCAAAAAAAATTGGGAAGTGCCAACTTTTTGGCAATTGTACATCCTTCCCTTTTTGCTTTTTGAATGGTTGTGATTTTGTGGGTATCTCGATAGAAAAATTAAGGAAATTCTATAAGTACCTTCTAAATTGTTTTTTTGTATTTTTTGTAAGTGTAATAATGTGTTTATCCACATGAATTGACAATTTATATGAATACTTATAGTAGCACCCACAATGTACAATATATTAGCAATATTTTTAGAAAATTTACGTTACATCAAAAAAAATTCAAAGAGTAGCACAGACTACCCTTGCAACCAATTGGATGAGTTTTTGCTCCATAAAACCCCTATGGATTTGGTTGGGAATTTGAACAAAACATGATGAGTAATGCTTAGTAACGTATATATCGATGTTAGATCACACTTTTACAAATAATAATTGATCGCTTTAAAAAAAAATCAAACTTTACATAATATTACCTATAATACCAACAACTACTTATCTAAAATTCATATTACAAGCGAATTTTCTATAAAAATGGTATAACATTTAAGTTTATTACTATATATTTTATCTTGTTGGACCATTGATATCATCTTTTAACATAAACAAATCAATTTCAAGTCTTCAAATCTTGTCAAGATCTAGTAGATCGGGTGCAAAAATTAGGATGTTCTCTTATTATTGTTCACTAGAAGGACCAAAGCACAACCGAGTGGATTCTTGACAAAAACTCATACTTATATAGTTATGTGTGATCATGACAATTATGGTTCAATAACCAGCAAGACAGTTTATACTTGGATCCATAAAAACTACTCAAACATTTACATTAAAAATTTCAAGTTATATTTTATCAACACATACATGTGCACAAGAAATAATATCATCAATAATGGCGGGAAGACAAGACCTTATTAATTGGAAATAAAGTCATCTTTCAATCACGCATATTTCCCAAAAGAAAAAAGTTATTTAACGTTAACATTTAAGTTACTAAAAACATTTTCAGTTAATAAAATCTTGTCTTTCGACCATTTTTTATGATATGACTTTATAAAACATTGGGCTTGTGGGTTAACCTCACCACACCATGCAGTGAAGATGACGTGGTAGTAAGGGTGTACAATAACACCACACCACGAGGTAAGGCTATGCGAGATGCTCCACCGCAAGAAGCAAATTCATTGCATATACTATTGTTTCATATTTATTTAAAATAAATAAAAGAAATATAAGACAATAATTTCTAAGTTTAGAATAATAGTGATGTGAAAATAACATGGCGTGTGATGAGACCACACTCTTTGGCCTTAGAAAAAAGTATTCGATGCCTCTATTTCGTTTTGGCTTAAAAACATTTCTCTCTCTCTCTCTCTCTAAGAAATTAGTAAAATTCAAATTTTATATATATATATATATATATATATATATATATATATATATATATATATATATCTATATATATATATATATATATATATATATATATACACCGCAAACAAATTATCTACAAAAGAAACCAATATTGATGTAAACTTTTATCTTTAAAAGAAAAAATAATGATAATTATAAAAAAAATATTTTGAATTCTACTAAGATTAAAAATATTTATATTTTTCTAATCCTAATCTAAAGTAAATTTAAATAATAATATTGTGTATTCATTTTACATTACTAATATTATTTTTAAAATTTAAAATATATATATATATATATATATATATATATATATATATATATGATAATATACAATTTTAATTTATAACGGTTATTAAATAAATAGTTTTTGTCAAATAAATAGTAATTTGTAACGTTCTAAATAACGTTAGGTGTGATTTGGCGGCAATGTTAAGCCTAAAGCTTTTACGAGTCGCGGTGAGTCTTATTGTTTGTAAGGCGTGATTTTTTTTAGAAACAGCAAATATATCATTAAAATAAGAGGGCAACGCCCATATAGCAAGGAGCTACAAAGGCAGAAAAAAAAGGTACAAATACAAAAGAGAATTAAGAAGCAAGATGAGTAAAAGGTGAAATACACCATTCCGCCTAGCTCCCATACACATCATTACCTCTATGTCTGCACCAATTATTAGTGAGTGAGATTACATTATCAGTCAGTTTAGTTTAGTGGAGTTCACATTGATACTCTTAAAAGTCTCATCATTTCTGGAGATCCATATGTTCCAAATCAGGCAGTAGAAAATAGAAATCAGGATATCCTTTTTCTTTGGACCGTTCCCCCAAGTAGCAGCATAATCAATGAATTCTCTAACACTCGAGAAAGTCCTGTCTCCAATTCCACACTATTTAAGTATCCATTGATGCACCTCGCTAAAATAGTCACATGTAATTAGCAAGTGATCAACCAATTCTGATTCCTTATTGCACAATGGGCATAACGAACTTGGTGTAGTTACACCCCTAGTAGCCAAGTTTTCAGCCACCGGAATCCCATATAATGTTGCACGCCAAACAAAGCATCACACCTTCAAAGGGATTGCCTTTGTCCACCCAATTGTCGTCCCCTTGTATGAGTTCAGCTTTGACTCCAGAAATTTCCTCATTCTATTCACTGTGAATTCCCTATTAGGATTAAAGAGGAAACTGAAACCAAATTTGGATTTTACCTCAACATTCATATTTCCAAACTCCGTGTATAGATGTAACAGTTCATTTAATTCGTCCGACCCAGTTGGTTCAAAACTCCACATCCACGAGAAGCCATTCGTGGATAGTCTATCACCCAATGAGCAACATTTGATTGTTTCCAGTGCATATATGTTAGGAAATTTGATAAAGAAAGGAGTTTTATTACACTAAGGGTCTTTCCATAACAGAATTTTGACATCCGACCCCAGGATAAGGGCAAAAATGTTCGTCCAATCTATGTGAAGCGATTCAGTAGACCTGGCTGCCTTAGAAATATTGCACCAGACTCCGTTTGATGATTTCCTTGCCATATATGAGGCAGTTTTATTGAGTAGATTGTGAATACTTACAATAACACCTCTCCATAAATCGTTCTTTTCGTTCATGAGTCTCCACCACCATTTAATTAGTAAGGCAATGTTTTGTGCAAATATTGATCCAACACCCAAACCCCCCTCTGTTTTTAGGGGCTGTGACTTTTATCCATTCTACCCATTGAAATTTTCTTTTAAGCTCACTGTCGTCCCATAGAAATCTACACCTTATTTTATCAGTTTGATCGATGATACCCAATGGAGCTTTAAACAGGGACATATAGAACGTAGGGAGACTGTCTAGAACTGATTTGATGTGGGTAAGACGACCTCCAAATGATAAGGACATGACTTTCCAACTACAAAGTTTGGAAGATAATTTATCTAGAATCGGTTTCCAGTTTTTCTTAAGTGCCATGTTAGCACCTACCGGTAACCCCAAGTAAGTGAACAAAAATTCTCCATGTCGACAGCCAAGTACCTGAGCAGTGTTGGACAAAGTTTCTTTTTCAATTCCCACACCATATAAGCATGATTTGAGAAAAATTGACTTTGGCGTGTTAATTTGTGTGTGTGTATGTGTGTGTGTGTATATATATATATATATATATATATATATATATATATACTATTATTATTCATTTTTATATACATATATGACTTAAGACGGCATTTTGTTAAAGTGTGACGTCAAATATAAGTTTTGGAGCTATGACGAGCTTTTTAGAACCTTGGTAATTTGTCATTTGTCAATTATTATTTTTAAGCATACATGTAAAATAGTCATTTATTCAGATTCAGACGATATATTGATCTAAAAAAACAATATTAACATTATTTTATCCACACAAGCATCACTATTCATTCCGTACAATTCACCAAATTGTCAATTTGGTAGTTAATGTTTAAGCCATGACTTAAGGGTTTTTGGCACTATACCACAACAAAGTTTGGCGAATTTATATATTTAGTCACTAAAGTATTTTTTGTGCTCAATTGATCATTAAAGTTAAGTTTTCTCCGTCAATTATACCATTATGTGACATGATACCAGGAAAAACCGGTTACTTAGTCATGTGGCATTTTAAATTAAATTTCTATATATTTTTTGTGGCCCAAACCTCACACTCACAGCGTGCCTCCTTTGCGTCTTCGTTCTTAATCAATCAACATGCACCAAAAATCACAACTCCTATTGAAATCGGATTGTAGGAGCCTTCAAGGTAGAGATTACGAACACCCTCTTCTTTCTAGATCTATCGCAACCTCCTTCTCTCGTTCTCCCCTCCAACGAACCCAAACCTCTTTGCAAAGTCTCTTTTTCGATACCCATTCTTCCCCAGTGAGCGAGATAGAGAGAAAGAGTTAGAGGGAGAAAGTGAGTGAGATCAAAGCAGGTTATAGAGTAACGGCGGCAGTGAAACCCGGTGGTTGCCGCCACCTGATGAGTTTGTAGCAGGTTACTGAGTCACGACGTTGACCGTACCTAAATCCATCGGAATCCCTAGACGACGCATCAACTGCAACATAAGTATTTTCCTTTTCCATAACAGAACACAAGTCAGTCACTGTAAACTGTTGAGCAGCTTGAGTCTGCAATTGCGAGCTCAAATCTTCAATCTTTGCCCCAATTTCAACATGGTCATACGACTCTGTTTCTCACTTCTGCTCTACTTTGAACTCATATTACCACAGAACAAAAATCCAAACACACCTTTCGACAAACAATTTATAACAAAAACCATAAATTGTTTTTAGATCAAAGACGATATTCAAAGTATAATCATGGGTAAAGAAGCATAAAATCGAACTATAATATAACAAGATTCGAGATTCGAAGTTCAGTTAGGCGTCGATTTCAATTTCACATACGGAGATTAAGGGCAAAGCGTCGATTTTAGATTGTCGTCGAAGATGAGGCGTCACCGGAGTTGGTGTCGACGGAGGTGAGGCGTCATAGGAGGCGGAGAGCGACAACGGGAATGAAGGCTAAGGTGTTGTTTGTTTTTTGTCTGCAGATCTTCTTGGCCTCTTCTGTCTACGCCGCGCAGACCACGCGCAAACATTAGCCTTTGCAGACTGTTTGTTTTTTTTAAGACTGCATACCTAAAAATGTCTGTGCGCCCTCTTCTTGGTGCAGATGTGGACCAGAGTCTTCTAACATCTTCAGATATCTTCTAGCCTAAAATAATACATATATCTTTATTTTTTTTTAGTTTTTTTTAATTTATATTTATTTCAACTTTATTAATGATAAACAATTTGAAAAAAAAAAGTTACAAGACTTAAAAAAAAAAGGTTCGACGACACAAACATGACATTTTTGACAAATTTACAAATAAAGATTTATTACAATAGTGGTCGTTGAAGTTGTTTATATAAATATGAGAAAAATATCGTCAATTTATTGGAAAAATATTTATGGTATGTTTTTAATTGAGAAAATCGAAGTTTATTTCACTTTTTATACAATAATACATAAAAGTTGATCTACATTTGTTTATTATTTATTACAAAGTCGTAAAAATATTAAAAAATCACTTTGAAGTTTTAAAAAAATCAGTTTATTTAGATTTTAATTTATTTTAGTAGTCTGCAGATGTTAAAAAAAACAAACAGTCTTCTTTTTTCAGCCTGCAGACGTGTGGTCCACCTCTTCTACTGCAGATGTTTACAGATGTGGTCTGTAAACTGCAGACATTTTGCCCCAGAAAAAAACAAACACCTAAGAGTAGGGTTTCACAGTATTTATTCGTAAGTTAAGGAAAAAGGAAAAAAAAAAGCCACATATTTATATTTGATTTTTATTTTTGAAAAAAATAAAAAAAATAAAAAGCCACCTAGATAAATGCTAACCTGTAAACCAGATAAAATTGCGTTCAATCCCTTAATTAGAAGGTAATTTTTTACTTTAAGGACCAATTGAGCACAAAAAAATACTTGAGTGACTAAATGTATAAATTCACCAAACTTTGTTGATCGGGTTGTTTATTTTTCATAGTTTTTTCAATTTTTCCAGAACCTTTCGTATGCACCTATTAGAAGATTTGGGCTACCTCCTCTCTTTCTGATCTCATTCAGATAATAAGCTAGTCCGGTTTATTAGATAGTGAGTGGGTAAGAGAGGTGCTTGATCTGGCTCTGAATGTGGGCCTAGAAACATTTGTCGAGTCCTTGAATATTCCTTAAATGACTTTTAAAAAAAAAAAAAGCTAATGCAACAAACAAAATAAAATTATGATCAAGGTTTTTTCCTTTATGTGATTATGGTGATCATTGTATTTATTAGGGATAATGATTTAAATGAATAATATATTTTTTGATTTATATATATGGTTACTGATTATTTTTTATTCACATTTAACAATTTAATTTGTTTTTTTTTATTACATTCCGTTCTTATAACCGACTACTCCGGATTAAGCCGAAAAAATGACTTAATAGGTAATATGTTTTTTTTGATGCTCTAGTTTTCTCCAAGCTGAATATGTCTTCGTATTCGGTTTCATATATCTTTATAGCAGACAACGACAAAGAATCTCGTTGTCTGCTATGGAGATAGATGAAACTTTTTGATAGCGTGTTATTTTGTCTTAAAAGTGCAAATTCTTTTAGTGTCCTTTTTAATTATTTTTGTATTGGAAATGCAAATTCGAGTTAGGAGAAAACAATCACAAAAAATCTCGTTGTCTACTATGAAGATAGATGAAACCAAAATCGAAGACATCGTCTGCTTTGAGAAAAACTAAGGCACCATCATTATTTTTGACTGATTCATGAATTAAGTTACTATAAGTGAAAGACGAGTCATGTATAAGCACATCTCATTAATGATTGTCCCATGTAGGATGTCATGAACAAAATCTGAAGAAACTAATCATAAGGACCGAATGTTTACAAAAATATTAAAAACTAAATATTTACACTTTTTCGGCATAACCTAAAATAGCTGGTTGTAAAGACTAAATATAGACAAAAAAAACAAATTAAATTGTCAAATGTAGACAAAAAAAACTCATTGACCAAATGTATACAAATCAAAAAATATATTACTTTTTTTAAGTCATTATCCATATTTATTATGATGTTATTGTAAAACGATTTCTTATGACCAAAAAGTTTATAGCCTAGCAGTAGTATTTGATGGATTTAGAACTAGTTTAACATTAGATTATATGTTTGTCGTTACAAAAAAAAAATACTAATATATCATTCAAAGAAATTGTACTCAAGTTTCATTTTTAAATTTTTTATATTTAAATTATTGTTATGTCAATTTTTAACAGATCAGTACATTCACTCTAAAAAAAGAAACAAGATTTATGAGCAACACTTTGTCATTCAAAGAAATTGTTCTCAAGTTTTATTTTAAATTTTTTTATATCTAAATTATTGTTATGTCAATTTTTAACAGAAATATAAAATACTCACTTATTCATGTTCAACCAATACATTCAGTCCAAGAAAAGAAACAAGATTTATATGAACAACAATTTATCCACACACATGTCATTATCCATTCGGTATACTTTATCAATTCGGTCTTAAAAAAAAGAGTTCGATACAACATCTGTATTTGGATTTTAACCTAAAAAGAACAGAGTTCAATACAACATCTGTCTTTGGATTTAAACCTAGGACTTCTAAATCCAATATTCGTATAAATCTTTCTTATGCATTTAGCACCCCATTTTACGGGTTCATTATATCTTAGTTGCAGAAATACAAAATTGGAGAGCTAAATATTTTTGCCATACTTTCCTCATTTCCTGCAACCATGATGGTTTTTTTTTTAATTTAAAAAAAAAAATTAAGGTCAAATATTAATATTCAAGTTTTCAATATATATTATTTTTGCAACTATGATGGTTATTTCTGAAAGCTAAAGCCCAATTGTTATAGAAGTTGGTTAATACCTCTCAGGAGTTGTTGCTTATAAAAAACCTAATCAATTTTGACTTGCCAAAAAGCTCGGTATCTTCGTTTCATACCATCAATATTTGCCATTCTGAACACTTTTAATTAGAGAGCTGGAGTTAAAAGAAGTAAGAAAAAGGTTGCAACTTTTTTTACTTGAAAAAATATAAGCAAACTGAGAGATCACATGCAATCTTGCTTGCATGTGCAAGAACTAACCTTTCTTGAACCTTCAAGATCACCTTCCAAGCCTAAATCTTGATGAGCCTATCAGCCTGGAAAACCAAGCATACCTGAGAACATTATGAACATGAAATTTCCAAGATCTTAAAAGAACACCAATTTCGTTATAAGCTGCTACTCAAAGAGTATCAATCTTGTTTATGCATTAAATGATGTACCTACCTCCAAATCTTTGACAGTGAAGGGAAAATTTAAAACAAGCAAATTCAATTACATACATCTCCCTAAACACCCCTGACCTCTACTAGAGGGGCAACATTAACATCAACCCCTTTTAATTAATAAGCCAATTGATTCTGAATACATACCTTAATTTAGTTATTGCTATCATCACTATGATTGTTGTTGTTGCTGTTTATAGTATTATGGTTACTACTGTTGTGATGATTATGAGTGTTATTATGATTATGACTATGATGATGATTGGTGTTGTTGTTCCCAACACCTTTCCTACTGTGCTTCAGCTGTGACAGCTCTAACTGTGTCTTCATGAAGAACTGCATCCTTTGCAATTCAAGCTCCTTTGCAAATTTCATGCTTTGCTTCTGCATCTCCACCATCTGCTGCAACTTGGAGCTCTCAGCCTGCTCATAAGCTTCCCCAAATTTCATTATCGCCCTGGTCAATTCTCTAACGGAATCTCCCCAATTCTTCTCTCTCCCTCCTACTCCTCGCCCTCTGTCCTGTTGTTGCTGCCTCGCGGTGGAGTTGGAGTTTGCATTGAATGGAAGTGGAACTCTTGGGCGTTTTTGCTCGTAGGAATCTGATTCAGGCGAATCTGGAGACGCCTCTGGTTCTGATTCAGATGAGTCTGAATAGGCAGGAGGGGGGCGTAGACGCTTACGCTGCTGTTGAAGTTGTTGTTGCTGCTGCTGCTGCTGAAGAAGGAGTTGTTGTTGTCGCTCTTGTTGCTGCTTTAACCTCAGACTTTGAACAGGCGCCGATCTAACACCGACCGGAATCCCCACCGGAACAGCTCTTAAAGGCGGAGTAGTCAACAATGATGAACCGCTCTTCGCGGTTGCCGTAGGACCGATTAGCTGGTCCAACCGATCATAGAAACTCCACGTACTAGGCCCCCCGCCGGACGCAATTTTCGCCTTCTCAAGCTTATACTTCTTCTTCACCGTGTCGATCCGATTCTTGCACTGAATATCCGTTTTCGGAGCCTTCATATAATCCTCCCGACTACTAACTATATCCGCAACCTCTTTCCAGTGCTTCTGCTTCAAATTCCCCCTGCTCAGCTCCAGGTACCGCTCTCCCCACGCGTCAATCAACACAGCGGTTGCACCTTCGCTCCAACAATCCTCCCGACCTCCTCCACCTCCTCCTCCTCCACCACCACCGCCGCCACCTCCACCGCCGCCGCCGACGGTCCTCGGCTGCTGTATCGGTAGCGCTAACGTCAAGGTATTCTGAGGAGGCGCGGCGGTAGCCACCGTGACGGTTATCCGGCGATTAGAACGCGGCGAACTCGGAGATCCAGATCCTGCGGATGGATGTGACTGGATTTCTTCGTCGTCTTCCATGTGTTTTCTCTGAAACCTAACAAATCGTGTGGCCGGCGGGCGATATCACCGATCTAAAAGATTTTTAGAGAGAGAGAGAAAGGGAAAGTTTGTTGTAGAGAGAGAATGGAAGGTAGGGTTTTTAGAAAGAGAGAGAGGGTAGTTGACCGGCGTTTTTTACGATAGAGAAATATAAATTTATCGGTTGACGGAGAAAAACGGAGAGAGGGGAGGATAAGTTGACGGAGAAGTCGGCCGTCAAGGGAACGGGTTAGGAAGGACACGTGGAATCCCATTTAGACGAAACCCGACACACCGGACGTGATTGCCACTTTGCCGGCTCCGGCTCCGGCTCGGCTCCCTCGTTTAGGCCGTTTTTGTTTTTTCTCATCGTTTTGCTTTTGCATTTAATTTCAGTCTTTAACCTAACCTCCCTCCCTCCCTCATACGTCCTCATCCTGTAAAATGACATTTTTCTCCTTGCGTTATTTCTCTCCTTTTCAATCCCACGTGTTGTAATTGTTGGCAGTCGTTGATGATTGAGATACATTTTGTATTAATCACGATAAAAATTAGCTTTGATTAGATATGCGGATAAAAAGCCTTAAATTTTATCAAGACAAAACTCTACAAATGGTCCCTATGGTATGGTATGTCGAAAATTGTCACTTTTGTCTAAAAATGTTTGCACTAGCACCAAAGGTCCAAAGTTTTCATTTTGTTGCGAGTTTGATCCAAAAATTTTAGAACTTTTTATAATGACGGATTTGCCCCTATTAATATGGTTTTATCTTTTTTTTCTTAATTATTTTTCAGATTTTCAAATTTAAAAAAAAACAAGAAAATAAAAATGAAAATAAAACTCACCCCTACTACCACACCCACCCACTATCTCTTTAACATACATACACCATCTCTTGTCACCGCAAACCACCACCACCCGCCAGAAACCACCGTCACCCGCATTCCGGTGCCACCCTCTCTCTCTCTTTTTCTGCTGCTTCGATCACCTTCTTTATCTCTTTGTGTCTCTTCTGCTACTATAATCGTCAGAGCACTCAAAATGCTCATCGAAAGGAGGGAGGGTTTCAGATCTACCGTCAGAAAACCCTAATCGGCCGGTGGTGGTGGTGGTGTAACGCCCGGGTTTCGGGGCTAAGCATTTTTAGACGATGTAATAGTCTAGGTCAACTATTGTAACTCTTTTTGAAGTAATAAAGATGAAATATTTGAATACTATGTGAATTATGTGTATTTGTGTGCTTATAATTTAATTATAAATGTATAATTAATAAAGGATAAAAATAAGCGTCAAAATTAAAGTGTGATATAAACCCGATATCTTTACATAAAGTTGTAGCGGTCGAAACAAGGATTCCGGTGATATAAAGAATGCCGAAATCCGAGTTATAACGAAGAAGTTATGACCCGTCGAAGTTTCGCGACGGAACCGGCATGATATCGGGAAGCGTAAATAGTGAATTTATGATAGAGCGATTTTTAGCCTTAGCGATCTAAACGAAAGTCGTAGAATACGTTAAACCGAGAGCGTCCATAAAAAGAACGCCCAAATCTGACTTTGTATGAGGAAGTTATGATTTTTCGAAGTTTCGACTTAGCAGTGTACAGCCCGAAGTTCGAATATTAGATCGAGCGGTTTTAGCCGACACAACCGAAACGAGAACCGAAGATCTCGTTAATAGTAGCATAACGATAAAAAGACAGACGAAAACGGACGTCGGATGAAGAAGTTATGAGATTTTAACGGACCAATCATGTCCCGGCCTGTTAATAATTTAACTTTTAAAATAAAGTCAAAATTTGCCGACGGAGTCTAAACGAAAGTTGTAGAATACGTTCCCACCTACGCGTAGATATAAAGAACGTCGAAAACGGAGCTCGTATGCGAAAGTTATGATTTTTAGAAGTTAAGTGTGCAATTTGCGAAATTGTGATGACGTGGCACGATCCTAGCCTTCCCTTGCTCCCCACGGCCTCGCACCAGATGAAGACACGTCGCCTTCGCTCTACGCCCTGCGTCCGAGGCTGGGTACTCCCAGTGTACCTCGGTTCTTATCCATCCGAGTCTGAAGTGCGAGACAGCTGGATCCACCTGACAGCCCTATCCGAAGCTACGCGCTGCGTTGCTGAATGCCCAGCGTTCGTACGAAGCCAGCAGCCTATAAATAGCTGCGAGATTTCTCGGATTTTCACACCATTCTCCTTCTCTCTCTAAACTACTTTCTATCTCTAAGGGTTTTAACCCCCCTAAACCCTAGGGAACCTCCCTAGCACCCGAAGGAAGCCCCGAGGCTCCCGGAGTCCCGAGAAAAAGGGTCTTTCGGTTCGGAAACGCTGCTCCAAGCGAAACCCGGTTTTCTTTAAAATCCGTTGTAAGTGAGCTACGCCTATGAAATTTTTTAATATAGCTTTTAAATAATTATAGTAATGTTATTAGGTCCTTAAAATAATTATTTGGACTATTATTATGAGTTATATAGAGTGTTGTTTAACGCTTATATAATAATAATAATAATAGCTAGACTATTAATTAGTCGCGGTTAACGTTAGACTAAACCCTAGTGGTATTGATACTAGGTTTTGTCGAGGGAAAATTATTTTGAGATAACGAAGCGCTATTCAAGTGCAGAGTGACCACTTTTCAGGTGAGTGCATAGTCCCTTTCATCTTACACATAGATATGAAGTATTTATTATAAACTACGTGCTATGTGTGCATATTATCTGAATACTTACTGTCTATGCTGATGAAAGATTTTTTATACATGTTTTAAATGATTTAAACTGTATATGTATTTTATATCTACAAAAATTTTGGGGTAAAACATGGGTAGATGTAATAAGACGATGTGTGATAAAATGATGAGAGGCCTCGATGTTGTTGGTGATCCAGTCGTCTAGCAGAGTATAGATGACGACCACGGACTCTTCTAGACAGTCCAATGGAACGCTAGCAGGCTCGCAACATGTAGGTGTTTGTGAACGATGTGTTCACCGGTGTACTCCATCCCCCTCATGGTTGCCTTTAGGACATTTATTGCTGAGGAACCCCCTTAGCAGTAGTGTCCATCCCGATAATGATCCTTAGGCTAGGTCCCTTATGATAGGTGTTTTAGGGACGTAAAGTGAGGATAACGGGAACGGGTAATCGGGTTATTGTTGGTTGATGAAATTAAATAACTTATTTATTGTGGGTTGAAAACTCTATGTGCTCACCAGGCTCCCAAGCCTGACCCACTCAGTTTCATGTATTACAGGTAGTGGCGGTCGAGCATAGATGTGATGTTTTGGATGAGGGATTACGGATATAGACATGTAGATACGAAATAATGTAGTAAGACTTATGTTGTACTGTTTATGCTTTTGATCTGTATCGAACATGACATCCCAAGTCTTTTAATGAAATACATTTTTTGGAAATGCTTTTGATAAATCTTTATCATATTTTGTTTTGGGACAAATTCCGCAACACTTTTATTTAAAATGTTACTCTGATTTTCAAACAAGCATAAACAAAATCGGTCTTTTCTGGCCGTGAAAATGGGGATGTCACAGGTGGTATTTACAGATCTGGGCAATAGAGAAGATGAAGGGACGTCTCCGATGGTGGACAAACTGAGAAAGGCATCGAACGGACTACGACCGTCGGAGTAGGACCAAAAGATCGTGGTGGAATCTCGATCTGTTCATCGGACGAAGAGGATGGCGTTGTCCTCCTTCCCAAACGACGAAGACGATGGCGATGTCCACCACTAGAGACATGCCTCTGTTCTTCTCCGGCGAAGTGTTGGACGACGAAAGGTTTTCTGACGGCGCCAGATCTGTTCGTCACCGGTGATAAGGGTCTGGCTAGGGCTGTTGCAACGCCGTTGACTTATGTGTCTCGATTTTCTAGCTTCGATATGCGTTTGTGATGGATTTAGCGACTGGTTGCGAGGCGGAGAAACATCGATTTGAAAATCGACCAGGATGAAGATGTGGATCCGAGTGTTTCTTTTGTTCACCGGATCTGTGTCTTTTCATCTCCAACCTATGTCTCTCTTCATCTCCCTAGTTTCAGTTATGTCTTTTCATCTCCTTCCTACCAGCGACAACTTCAACTTCAGGTGGTGGTGGTTGTGCCACCGATGGTGGCTTCTGGTGGTAATGGTAGTGATTGTGCTTCACCGGTGATGTTGTGTTAAGTGATAAAGGGATGTTCACAAAAATAAAAAAAAGCAAATAAAGGGGATGATGTTTACATTTTATTTTTTATATTTTTTTAATAAATAAAATTAATAAAAAACAAAAAAAGAAAATACCAAGGGCAAAATCGTCATTGTTAAAAAAATCAAAACAAATTGGACCAAAATCGCAACAAAATGAAAACTTTGGACCTTTGGTGCTAGTCCAAACATTTTTGGACCAAAGTGGCAATTTTCGACATACCACAGGGACCATTTGTGCAGTTTTGTCTTTGATCAATTATTAATGGTTTATGTCAAGCTTAATTTTATATTAGCTAATATTTAATACTTTTGAAGCTTTTCTCATAAATAACTTATCAGGTCAAACATACTATATCTTGTTGGAATCTTATCTTTTGACGTGGCGGCATCGAATCAGATTTTTGGTTAAGATCATCAACATCAATACAATATCAATTGCATTCAGCACTTGAAACAAGTCCATCCTATGTGGCCTTGCAATTTGGTTTGAAAGAACCGGTGTAGATGCTATAATGTGATATATCATTGTTTAATGCCCCAAATCTTTAACATTTACAAACAATAATTATTGTGAAATTTAAAATATTTAGTTATCATCTCTATGGTTTAATAAAAACCGAAAGTGTTCAAAAGTAAATTTAAAACTTTTGGGTTACAACTTTACATCACAGCATAGATAATCACGGGAGTAAATTACATAAATCGTCCCTCGTACGGGTGTAAAAAGACTCGTTCAATCTTTATTTTCAAAAATTAACTTGGATCATCTCTGATATGTTTAAAAGTTGCACGT